TGGCTGTGGGGCCATGACCAGTCTCTTCTCTTAGTCTCAGTTTCCTCATAAGTGGAGATAGTCAGAAAGGATGACTTAAAGAATTTCCTCTGCTCCATGATGCTATGTAGTACAAATTTTTGGCCTAAAATCTCAGAAACAGAAAATGTCCCGAATACTTATAAGTAAATTGTTTTTTTAAAAAAGTGATCTTCACGTTTTGGGAGAGGTTAATCGCAGTTATTTTGGTCAATAATCATTATTTATGAGGTTCTTTCTAGAAACTGACATAATCTTAGACAAAGAGAACAAATAGTGCGTTAGAGGTTTGTTAAGGAATCAGAAGTCTTGCCCACTGATTGACGGACAAATCCAGGGCTACATATCCTGGCCAATACCCCAGGGAATCGGTCACACATTTTTAGTCCCACCACATATATTCTGGGAGCAATTCTCAGAAACTCCTCTCCATGGCTCATTGTGCACCAAGATGTCAGCTCCTAGCCAGGGACACTTTTGTCTCCCTTTTATTTGAGGCCTATTCACTCTTCCTAAACATTCTTTATATAGTGAACAATTGGGCCCAAATCAGCCCTTAATCCACAGACACTGCTTAATCCACAGATACGCTTTTATACTTACTGGGCTTCACAGATAACTCAGTTCCCTGTCCGAAGATAAGCTTTCCTGCCTGGTTATAATTCACACTGTGTTACGCCGCCTGTCAAGAACCCATCCAATCTTCCTGAGCACATTTCAAAGTCCCCCCCCAGCTCCAAGGCAGATCTCCCCCCCACAGCGTGAATCACGGTTATTCTTATTGTTGTAACCTTTTCTTTCCTTACAAGGGGCATAAGGTACTTACACAGGGGACTGGTAAAGAATAATGAGAATTCCTATTTACCCAAATTGTTTCTACTTAACACCAAACCGATCTCTCATTTTTGCTTAATGGCTCCGGGTACTGCTCTTCAGGAAATGGCTTCCTTTCCAATGTGTTTTTTATGGTCTCGGCTCAAATACTTGGCACACAGAAGTTAAAATTAAGGGCAGGTGAGGTTCCAGGGAGTCAAGCTTACCTGGGGTCACCACAACCTGGGTCCCTGCTCCGAAATTCATCTTCCCCCAGCCACCAGTTGTCACACTGTGACAAACACCTCTACAGAAATGGCTTCCCCAGAGAAGACAGCTGCTAAATGAAGACAAACTGCTCATGGGGAAACAATCTCGCTACGAAATGAGGCAACTGCATGATATGAGATATAAGCTTTTCCCTCCCTTCTCTTCCAATTTTTCTTTCTTCAAGACGTCGAGGATGATGTGCGCCCAGAGCTGTATTTACTTCCCAGGCAGAGGGCCAGAGAGCAGCACCGCTGGGGTTAACGAAGCCCCTTCCCACTGCCCACCCCCACAGTGACAAAACCCCCCACTCCAGGAGTTTACCTAAAGTCAAACCTGGTCCTCAGCATCGCTGGAGCTCAGATTACAGCTCATTACTGCTGCTACCCCCCCATTGCAATAACCTGGTGCTTTGAATTCACGAGTCTACTGGAAAACTCTTCCAGGACGCCTGAGTTCTGTTCCTGTTGGAACTAAGTCAATCACCGGCTTCTCCTTGCCTCAGGTTTTAAGTCTATGAAATGGGGATAACTATTGAATCTCCTTCTGAGGCAGACTTGCCTTCAGGTGGTTTTATTTATTAGAAGCCTGAGAGAGTGGATGGACCCCAAGGCCAGGGTATGGGTGGGACCCTGGTGGGTTTCTTTCCTTCCACACCTGTCAGAGCTCCTTCAAGGACGCGGGAGGTGACCAGGCTCTGGGCCTTGGTCTGCTCAGCCCCTATAACGTCCTTCTGACCCAAGGAGGCCCCTGTGGAAAAGAGAGCAGGTCTGCATTTTGGAGATAATCGTATTCAGTGCACAATTTCAAATTATATGCCACTTACTTGGCCTGACAAGGAGTCTCGTCCCCTTCCCAAAGATAAAGGAGAAGCCTTGTCCTTCCCCACAGTGATTATCTCAGCATCAAAAACCTGCCAACTCAGCTGCCACCCGCACAAAGCCTCCTGAGAAAGGAAACCTGGAATGTATTTCTTCCAGTGTTATTCCCACAGGCCTGTGACTTCCCTCCCTGAATAAACGGTCCCTCCCTCTCCTTATTGTCCTCAGGTTCTGTTGTCACTCCCTTCCCACCTCCTGCTCCGTCCGGGCTCCTAAGGTCACAATGGACCCAGGTCTCAGTCCCCTCTGGCTCACTCCCACGCTGAGCCATTTCCTCTCCCACCGAAAGGTACTCACAGGGCAGCACAGACAATCTGGTTCCGCCACCGAAGATCAAGCCCTGGCCATAGTTATTCCCACAGTGCCTCTGGGCTCTGCAAAAACCCCCGAGGGTTCACCCTGCACCTGTCACCACCACAAACCACTCAGGACCCAGAACCTGTGTTTTTGGCTGCAGGATGAAAAAGCCAGCCCATTTGTCCTGTCCAGTCCTGAGAACAAAGGGAGTTTGGGACACACCTAGCAAATGTTCCAAAATGTAACCGAGCAACCCGGTGTTCTCAAGGATGCAGCTCCGCATTAATGAGCCAGAGGTTTTTCACCGAGAGAGGCTCCCGGGGCTGGGAAGAGGCGCAAAGTTCTTTCATTTCTCCTTCTGCCCCCAGGCAGGGCTGCACTTCAGTCACCTCTGACAGAGGAGGGTCCATCTCCTTTCAAAAGCCCTCTAGAGAAAGTGCTCTGGCAACTACTCCTGACAGCTCATTTTCATTGTTCAAAAACCTATTAGGAAGGTTTTACCACCAACCTGAGCCCCTTCTTCTTGCAGTATTAGCCTGGAACTGTGGTCTGTCTCCTGGTGGAGCTGGGGAACACAGCCCCTGCAGCCTTTGTTTAATGCCTGCTTCCCAGATTCAGATCTGGGACGCAATGCCCACCTCGCCCTCAGTCTCTTTTCTTCTATATTAACCTCCTCAGTTTTGCTCTCTGGACCTTACTGATCTTCCATCTCTGGGCCTGAAAGTTTCATTTAGGGGCTATTTTCTGGTATCACCCTCATGAGGAGCTTCGCTGCCCAAAGGAGCAGAAGGACGGTTTTGGGATAAGTTGCTCTTCCCTGTGAAACTTCTATTCTCTCTCTGTCCCTGTCCTTCCACATGTCTTGGAGAAAGTCACACTGGGGTCAGCGTGGGATAGGGTGGTGCAAGGTGTCAGTTTATGAGACACTTGCAGGGTAAGCTGTGGGCCGAATGCCTGCTCTGGGGGTTTGTGTGCAGCCTCAGGAGCTCTCTGCAGAAACCTCTCTCCTGCCTTGGACACTGGGATGATTCTGTATTTAAATGAGCCAGGAGTCTTTTTATTTCCACTTAGACACTTTCAAATCCCAGGTGAAGAACTTCATAGACCAGGCTGACTTTCCCGGCCCTCCCCCCATGCCGGCTCCCCTCCTGATGCATGACAGAGCCTGACAGAGAGCCTGAGGGGCGAAATGAAAGCTCAGCTGCGTCTTGGAGATGATGTTTATCATTATTATTAATAGCCAGGGTTTAATGAGCTCTTTCTAGGTTTTGGACACTATGCGAAATACTTCAGCTGTATTATTTTATTCTGTCTTTACAATAACTCAACATGATAATTATATTTTTACCCTCATTTAAGGATGGGGAAACTGAGGCTCAGAGAGGTTACATAACTTGCCCAAGGTCACACTGCTGGTAAAGCGGTGGAGCCAGAACTTGAATTTGGGTTTTTCTGTTTCCGAAGCTCATGCCATACTGCCTAACCCATCACCACTGGCTTCAGAGTGTCCAGAGGCACTCCTGCCATCTCAGAGAAGCTGCAGACTCAGAGCTGAGGGCCATGTTTTACAGTAGAAACTTTGTTCTTAAACTAGATGCCCAAAGTTCTAGTGGCTGTTTTCAGAGATTTAAATTATAGTGGGGGGTGGGCAAAGTTAGATGTGAAAAAGTACTTTCTGGCACTAAGGGTTGCTAAATTTTGGAATTACAGAGAGAAGCTGAGGGATTTCCTACCCTACATCATCAGACGGAGCCAAAGCACATCCCATGTGGCAGGGAGAACGCAGGGAAGCCAAGTAGGGGGCCACTCTCATCCTCACTGGTCAATAATTGTTTACATCTCTATTTCTCTGGAAATGTTGTATATGCTCCTGAGGGCCCCTCATCATGAGCCAGAGAAAATGCATGCCTGTGTGTGTGTGTGCGCACACACACATCTCATTTTAAAGCAGAGAGGAGAAGCAGCCCTCTTTGGGGAAAGAACATTAATAAAGAGCCCAAGCAGATGCACAGGATTAAAGTATTTTTCAAACTAATGATTTGATTGATTGCCCCTAAAGGCCCAGCCAGAGAACACAACTTACTTGGTTTCACAGTGAGCATGGTCCCATTCCCAAAGATTAATTTGCCTGTGTTGGCGCTACACAGTGATCAGAGCTATTGCAATAACCTTGACTGGGGCCTTTAGGAAGACAGGTGGAGGTGGAGGAAGCACGCAGGAAAACAAACCCCGAAATGACTGCACATGGCCAAAGCAGTTCTCCTTGTAATTAGGTTAGAACGTGGGATGACTACTAATAATTAGCAACTTCCCAGCCCCATGCTCTTTGCCGCAATTTTCCTTGAAAGAATGAGCCTTGGCAGGGGGAGCTCCTGGGAAATTCAAAGTGGCTCCTGCTTGGTCTCTTGGGACCCTGTCTCGTTTGTTTTTCCTGCAGGCCCTTTGTCTATTTTCATCCAGTTCCTGCAGTTTTCTCTCCTACTTTCCCAAGAACTTCCTCCTTGTGGAGGCTCACATATTTTCTCAGGGAGAGATTACGTGGATATTAAAAGCCAAATACAATGCCCCAGGGAACATGTGCATTAATAACCTTGTTTTCCAACTGGTATCACGAACCACCCAACACAAACCAAGCAAAGAAAACACCACCTGTGTTTTGACAGCTTCTGTGTGATGGAAGACCGGCTTCTCGGGAAGAATAATTAGCCAGAAAGAAGAACTTACTTGGTGTGACCAAGAGTTTGGTGCCCTTCCCGAAAGTGAGTTGGTAAGCCCCAACTCCAGAGTATGCACAGAGTTTCCTTTCTTTGCAAAAACCCCACAGATGCTGAGAAAATCAAACCACTCACAGCACAGGCGCAGTGCTGACAAAGAGCTCCAACTGTAACAATAACCAGACAAGAGGCAAAAGAGGAGAGCGGGTACAGGGGCTCGCCATGGAGTCCCACAGAGACCCGCTGGATCTCAGAGGTCATCTAGTCCGCCCTCCCGTCCTCACACATGGTGCTCTCTGAGCAAATACCTGTCTAGCCTTTAAGAGCTCCTGGGAAGGTGGCTCTCCTTTACCAACAGCCTTTGCATTAAAGCAACTGTGCTTTATATCTAACTGAAATCTGCAAACTGCAGTCTGAGCTCTTTATGTCTCAAGCTTCCCTCCTTAAAGAAAGGGGGTTTCATGTCAACATACTCCAGATAGAAACTCATCACAACACTTCTAGCCAGTCCCAATGGTCACCTTTGGGGAAGAAACTGATTTCGAAGGAAGGGGGTCAAAGTGTATGTTGGATTTATCTGTAACTTGAATTGTTTTTACAAGGAGAAGTTTTCAGGTATTACTTACATCAAATAAAAATTAATAACAACATTAAATAGAAACCCACATTATATTTAAAAATGACTCTTAGATCTCAGACCAGCCTTCCTGTGCTCCCCAGGCTAAGGAGTCTCAGGTTCTCTGTCCTAAGGTTTTGGTCTCCTTGGGATCAGAAGAGGGAACTGGGCCAGGGTGCATGGTCAGAGCAAGCTGGAGGCACTGAGGCCAGGGTGGGGTACATGTGCTTGCCCATGAGAGTCTGGTGGGCTTTTGCATTATGCTAGAGTAATCTGTTCATTTTTCTGCTCAACACTAACTTTCCGGCTCCTCACAGACCTTTCTTGGGGTAAAACCCATTCTTAGGGACCCTAAAAAAATCATTCAAGGGAAGAAAACATTGCTGATTAAAATTAGGGATGACCAGTGACACTTACTTGCAGTCACAGAAAGTCTTGTGCCCTTTCCAAAGACAAGTTGCCTGCCTGCTGAATTCCCACACTGATTGTCTCCATAACAAAAACTCTGAGTGCCTGGCCCCAGTATTCTTCCTGATAGAATCTCCCAGAAATCTCCCTATTTAACCATAGTTTTTGTTTTCCCTTAGCACATCTCTGCCTCCTTCCTGATTCCCTACCGAATGCCGTGTGATTACCATGCCTCTGGCTCTGGCCGCCTGCTTCGCTGATAAGAGCCTCCATACATGGAGCTGTGGCTCAAGAATGCATTTCTGAACCGCCCGCAAACTTCCAACTTATTGTTAGCCTAGGAAAAATATTCCAAAGGAAATCCCTGTCTCTGGCCTCATAACAAACTCTTTGTTGTGCTAGGGGTAAAAAAAAAGTGGCTACTTTTCCTAAAAGGAGAAAAGGATTTGGAAAATCGCAGAGTGAAAAGGCTCAACATGAGATGTTACTCTTGGCTGACACCAACTTCGTTGCTTCTGGCGCTAAAGTAGCTCTTTGGAAAGTTATCTCCTGCCCATCCCTGGAACAAGGGAAATGAGAAGGCACAGGTATCAGAGCCAGGAATTTTAGAAGAGGCCAAACAGGGGAAAGTGGGCCTTTTGTGAAGAGTGGAAGGAGAGGGGTCATAGGTAGGCTGAGGCCATTTCCAAAACCACTTTGGTTGGAGCCAGAAATCACACTGAGTTTAACAATGTGTCCAAACAAGTCCATTGGGGACAAACCTGGGAGGAGTCTTGAAGATGAACTTTGGACCAAGTTTCACAATTTTTACTGTTTATAATATATAAACAACAAAAACTATAATTCATTTTTAAGTGGCAGAACACTGGCGGCAACTTTCCCAGCTCTAGAGGAGAAGAATTTGGTGTTTGGCTCAGCTGTGGAAGGGCTGAGGACTGGGCTTCTGTGGGAGCAGAGGGCCCAGGGCCCAGAGGCTACCCACACATCTTAGAGCCTGGGAAACTTTCCCCACCTAAACCAAAACCACTTTTAACTCAATGGGAGTCAATATCAGAAAATGACATGAACAGCACTTACTGGGGAGAACATGAAGTTGAGTCCCTTTTCCAAAGATGATTTTGTTAAGACTTTGTTCACACTGTGATTGGGGCCATAACAAAAACTAGTGACTCTTTTTAGGAAAGCTACACATCCCCTGACAGATATTTTACCTTCATAGGACTTAACACTCCCACACTGTCTCCTTTACTATAATAAACAGGCCTCATTATCGCTTCAGCCATCTTTCTCTGTGTCTCCTGGTTGTGTTGCTTGAATTTTATGCCGCTTATTGCAAATATGCACGGAGGAAATTGGATGACCTCATTTGACACTGAAAGTGAATTATAAAAGCAACAATTCCATAAACTCTGCGATATCACACACAGCTCCATTACTTCAGGCAAAAAAATGACTGGGCAGACAGCCACACTAGAAATCCACTCTTCAGTGCCCCCCAAAAAAGATGGGAGCAGGAAGGGGCCACGTCAGACGTACATCTGAATTTCTGCCTGATATGGAACCGCATTACAGAGCCCTCACCTCCCCCTCAGTGATGTTCTAGAGTGGCCCTGTCACCAAACCCTGAAGATACCTCACCTTAGGCCAAGTGCACGTTTGCTGTACTCATTATAGCCCTGCCCGAGCTGGGGGTAGTGGGAATCATTCATTCTGGTCCAGAGGCATCCCTGTCTTTTGGGAAATGTTCTCCTTTCGCAGTCTGAGAATATGGTCACTCGCCACTAAGTGATGGAAACCTGATGCCATTACCACTAGCCCTGATGGGTCCTTGTTTGACTCCTAAAGAAACAAGCCCCACTGCCGCCTCCTCATTGTCTACCTACCCCCCAAATGCTCTTTACTGCAGTGATTTGAGAAGATTAACATAGGTTGGTCATGTTTACTAGATCTAACACAAACTTATGGAGTCAAGTAGCTGCTTTCCTTGTCTTTGGACATTTCCCACAGCCCAACTGTTTAAAAATAAGCTATCCTACTTTAAAGCTCCTTGGATTGGTTATTGCCTAGTCTCATTTATAACCTGCTGTAGGGTTTATAACGTGGCCAGTCAACTTGACAACACCAGCCTCTTAATATTATTTCTTTGACTGACATTTTGATGGGCTGCATTGTCCCCAAAATGGCACTGTGGAGGAACTGACACCCAGGTGTATCCCTAGGAATGCCAAGGCTCTGAATTTCTTATTTTCCTCCTCCCTAATGAGATATATTAAAAAAGTTTTTACTCATCGTGGATGAATTGATCATTAAATAAAAACCTTGTCATCTGCCTGCCATTTTATTTCACTCTGTATTTCTTTTCAGGCATTTATAAAGCCACCTGGGATCATCAATTGATCTCAGAATTTTTTTTTTTTTAACCCCATTGCATTTGAATAGTAAAGTTGTTTTTGTAAAATTTGACATATATGGGACTAGATGTGGACATTTATCAAAATGAGACAATGTTTGGGTTTCTTATTAGGTCTTTTAGAATAAATGCATATGCAGACATGAAAGACAAAGAAAATACCTTCTACATATTAGTGGTGTTTAAAGTGAGATAAATTCTTATTTTTTAATAGAATAAAATACAAGATTAATGGGTAAAATCACAGTAAACACACAAATCATTGCAGAATATAATTGAAGAGATACTGTGGCTGTAAATAACTCATGGCTACTGTATCTCTGGAAAAAGGAGAGCTGAGCTACCATATTAAAGGCAATTTGGCATGGTCTCATTTTGCATTGTTTATCATTATCACTCTATTCTTAACAGTCACAAATGTTTCATGCATTTGCAAAAGTCATCTTTTCCCAAAGGTACAGTTGTCTACATATTAAATTAAATCTCCACTAACTTCACAGGATTTATTTGTTGGGTTGAATATAAAAAGAACATGGTCACTTACTGGGTTTAACCACCAGCTGGGTTCCAGTTCCAAAGAAGATTCTGGCATTATTATTCCCACAGCATTTCCTGCCTTTACTAAAACCCTTAGCAAAACCCCATCAAACACAAGGCACCATGGTGAGGGGGCATTTGGACTCTCCATGATTTTTAAATTTCTGTGTCTCTAGAAAATGGCCTTTTGCAATAGGAAGAAAAGAATTGGTTCTGCTACATAAAGCAAATCATTTTTATTTCAAAAGACCAAACTTATGAGCTTTAAAAACCCTTTTGCGTTTCTAGGCTTAAATCTGCCAAAGCTAAATCAAATAATTTGTTAACAACTCTTGCTGGGTCTGAAGGGATGATGCATTCCTATATTCCCAGGGAGATTTTCCAGCTGCAGAGCCAACTGAACTCACATCCAGGCTCCACCCAAACCAAAACGCCACGATCCTGTCCTCTGCTCACTGGTCAAGTGATTTCAAAGCTTTCTCACTTGTGTAATAGTCTCAGTGTGGCAGCCTAAGAAAAGATTTCACCAGGGAAGAGTGGCAAAACGCAAATAGTCCTATCTTTCCCCAGAGAAGTTCCACCATGGACACACACGGTGTTTCAGATAGACAAGGGTAGCAGTTATAACACACCATCTGCCACAACCTCAAAGTCAAGTTCTGAAATAAATGGAGGAAGTGAACATTTTCTGTCATAAGAAAGGTTGTAGCTTAAAGGCAAGAATCAGAGCACACAAAAGCTTCTTTATCACAAAGCTGAGCATTGGCTGGGTTTTAATACACGTTCAGCACTGAAGGAGAGGGCTGAGCATCCAAGCCGGTGATACCAGGTCTTGGTTAAAAGTAGGGCGTAAGTGATAGAATTTTAAGTATGGAGAGAGGAGGCTTGAACTCATCCCCAAATGACTGTGGCTTGTAGATTCTTCAGATTTGAAGAGAAAGCATTCAAAACTTATTTTATTTCTCTTCTCTCAGCCTAGGGCATCCAGAATAAACCATTCTAAGGAAAACAAAGGGGAAGCAAGTGCAGGCAATACAGGGAAGCTATTACATGGATCACTGTTTTAATACTAAGCCGACTTACCCTAAGTCTGGTCTTTGCCTTCCTCCCTCCCCCTTTC